AAGGACAGACAAGACTTGGTGTGCGAGCAATTACCAACTGGCCAAGTCCCCGACGGTCGGTTCCTGGCGGTCAAATCCCCAGCAGTTGCACGAATGGCAAATTTATTGATGCTGGTACAAGGGTACGGGCGTGCAGAACAATTTGAATGACAATTATAAATGACAATTTTCATGGTTTTCCAAAGATTCCCCTCCCCGTCTCTTTTTTTGTTATAGGTGCAGTGAAATAGGATTCATTCCTATATCGTTAGATTTACTTCGTAATTTTTCTAATCGAGTTCGTTCTTGCACGTGCTTCGTGCCTTTTCGTATAGAATTGGTTGAAATTTCGTCGTTTATGAAGTCAATGCAGAAGAAAGCCAAGCGAATCAGAAAATTTACGAACTCCTTTTTTCCTAAGTGGTGGAGAAAGAGGTGTGGATTCCATCGAAGAACACAATAATCAATGGAATAATAATGGAATATAATACTAATGACTTGTCACTGAGTTGCTTTTGCGAATCCTTGCCTTTGAGTTGCTCACTCTTCCCCTCCCCCTTTGTTTTCTCTCAAGTCACCCGAGAGCGAGGAGGGGCGGGGGGGGGGGGGGAGACAGACAGACCTGAGAAGAGAGTGTTTCGGTAACTACAGGTATATGCTTCAGTAAATCTCCATTTCGTAAGAAGTTTCGTGGGTATGTGCCTTTTTGTCACGGCCACCCGATCAATTCGATGAATGGCCGAGATAAAATGGTACATGATTATTATCGTGTTCCTTGCACCTTTCTGCGTCAGCCGAGCAATTCAACAATTGGCCGAGAGACGGAACGGCGTGGTGAATACGAGATTGAGGTTCATGAAGTAGCTGCTCGCTCTTCCAAACCACCTGTAGTATATCTTCGGTGGCGCCTTTGGGATAGTCCAATCGGAAGGGAGGAAGGGGTTGGGATTGACATAAGCGTAGTAAGAGCTGGCTTCAACCATAATGGTAGGATTTGAACCCTCTGACTGCCCCCCTTCTTCCCCCGTCTCTCTCTCTCTCTCTCTCTGTAGACGCATCCCTGTATTTCTTCATCGTGGTTGTCAAGTCCAAAAACTCGTCAGCTGTCTGTGACTCTTCCAACAAGCACGCATTCTTATGTCACGCTTGCATCATGCGATTGATACAATCTAAATTCGTATTCAGAATTGCTACCACCCATTCCGACGGCACGAGACAGAAAATAAATGGACTTGTCTCGCCCTGTCTTGACTGATAGATTTCGCTCGTAGCCTCGTCTCGTATCTATACCCAGGCTGTTATATTTATGAATGAAATTATCAGTACCTAATCCACTATAAGGGAGGAGGATGACAGCCTCCCCCCCCCCTCCCCCCCAAAAAAATTAATTAATTAATAATAATAATAATAATAAATAAATAAATAAATGAATAGACCTCTAGAGCAGGGGTACACAACTCAAAAGATTTTGAGGGCCAATTGCGATTTTTACTCCCCTACCGCGGGGCGCAGTCTGGCTGACCAAAGCTGCGGCCAACAGGGCAGGAGCCATAGTAGCACTTACAACGCCACCAGTCTGCCACCAGTCATGGTGGGCCGCGGGCCGTATGTTGTGCATCCCTGCTCTAGTGCAGTGGTTCTCAATCTATAGTCCGCGGACCGCCGAGCACACGGACCTTCTATGGGAGTGAAAGTGAGTTTGAGAACCACCAGTGGCGGCTCGTGGGTAAAAAAATTGGGTAGGCAGCAGTGGTGCAAAAAAAGAAGGGGGGGGGGGGGCGGTCACCCCCAAATGATTCCTTTGCACCCATATGATCCCCATTTCTACCCATATTGACCAATCGAGCGTCCTCTTATGATAGTAGCAATTCTCAATGTTGTACAGCAACTTGCAACATAGAGCAACATAGGCAACAATACGAAAACGTTTCATCAATATACTGTGTTACTTGGGAAGAGGGTCACTCTGAAAGTTTCGGGATGCGAGCAATAGAAAACAGCTTGGCTTTATTCAATCATTACACCTTTTCGAAGTAGTCTACTTGAGCAACGATGCAGTTTCTCATCCTTGTGAACCATTTCTCGAGGCCGTGTTTCCGCTCAAATGTTGGGATACCCGAGGTCACTGAAATTACCTCAGTAACTGCCTCTTTTGAAGACTGGGAACGCCACCTACAGAGCGATTCTCTAACTCTTGGAAAGAGAAAGAAGTCACCAGTGGCGGCTCGTGGGTAAAAAAATTGGGTAGGCAGCAGTGGTGCAAAAAAAAGAAGGGGGGGGGGGTGCGGTCACCCCCAAATGATTCCTTTGCACCCATATGATCCCCATTTCTACCCATATTGACCAATCGAGCGTCCTCTTATGATAGTAGCAGGCACATTCGCATCTCTCTCAACCTCGCTGAGCATCCCCTCCCCCACAGGGGCGGATACAGAAAATTTTCATAAATTTTCAAATTTTCTTTCCCAAGTTCCTACCTAACCCCGCCTGCCACCATTCCTCGTCCTTTCGCCTTTTTATTTTTCGTCTGGGGTAAGAACTTCAGTACCTATTTCACTGGCTCCAATAAATGTAATGCAGATGCTATTTTGAATAAATAAATCAAATGCAAGCCTGGCCAGGGCCCCCCCCTGTATCCGCCACTGCTTCCCCACCCACCACCCACCACTCTCCAGTCTCTTCTGAGGGTCCCCCCCCCCCCCCCTCACCCCTTGACTATTGGCTTGACATAAGTTTAGGATATTTGCATTCAAAAATTGTAAATCCAATTCTAGCATAATCAGAACTAGCTATCAAGGAAATTACTTGCATCTAAAAGGAAACGTGACGAAGATTTAAACCTTCAATGAATGCAACTATATCATTGAAAGACACCCTAGGGATGCGAAGCACTGTCAGTCTAACAAAACATATCACTTGGAAACAGTGCCTCTTTCAAAGAGAGCTATGGATGCGGGGTAGGAATAGGGAACTGAGAATGACAGAAGCCTGTTCGAAATTATTCCTTATTCAGTCTGCATAATACTGTAGAATAGGTCTGATCTGGTGTGACAAGCACAGAGGCTTCTACAAGCACGTGCTTCTGAGCAGAGGGCGTGAGCAAGCGATTCTCAGCCTTCCTTCCTGCGCAAGGAGTAACTGCGCACCGTAGGCAAGCCTACCCTCACTCATTCCAGTGCTGTGGTTCTCTTCCTTTTCTCCCTCTTCTCGTTCCTGCATTGGGCTCGAGATAATTGAGCCTAGCCAGCGAAGGCAGGCAGCGCCGTGCCTACTCTGGACGCATAATCTCGATTTGCTTTTACCTCGCGATGGAAAAAAAATATTTCCAGCTGTGTTAATCGAAGAATTAATTATCAAATATTAATTTGAGAACTCTGATCGTAAACTGGGTGAGCACTGCCTACCCTGCCTACCCTGACGAGCCGCCACTGAGAACCACTGCTCTAGAGGAACGAGTTCGGAGTTTAAGTAGCGCTTTAACGGCACAGCATATACGAGGCAATAGTGACTCGTTGCAATGACCATTGGCGTGGAATTCCCAAGCCCTTTTATCACCTCTCTGCATCTACTTCCTCAAGAGAAATTTAAAGACGGGGCACCCAATTCTGCCTAAGAGAGTGAAGATATAAATGGTGACGGACTAGCTTCATGGCTTCGGCTTTCACGTTAACTCATGAGAAAATGAATTAAATTTGTTTCCCATGAGAGACATGCAATATACAGGGTGTTTCAAAAGTCCGGACTCAGGCAGATTTCCTAATTTACCTTTATTTCATTAAATTTTCAAATTGCATGCCATAAACTTGCATACACATATTAATCCTGGCACATAACCCCCTCTGAATATTTTTTAGTACTTCTGTACTAATTTTGGTGCACTCATTCATTAAGAAATTTAATTAATTCAAAATACCCAAGAGTACCGACTTTTGAAACACCCTGTATTTCTGGCTGAGTGAAACTCTGGAACGGATGGATTTCCCAGTCTGTCCTCATCCCCACCTTAATAACCACTAGCACGGTGGCGAGTGAAGTATCGGACACTTTTTTCTATCGCCATTCTACGTCTACTAAGCTTCATTATTAGTAGCAAAATTATACCTTCGTCACGATGTCCACGATATTGGACGTACTAGTACGCAACGCTCAAAGATATGGTCCACTTATGAACACCGAATATGGTCATCTGGGAGCTAATTAAAACTATGTCTAAAGCTTTTTTAAGGTAGTTTCTCGGGAGAAAATCCATATGGCGTTATGGGTTGACTTAGGGAACAGGAACCCTATATGGTTCTTGAAGACTAGTTTCTCTCCAGGGTCGGGGCCCTTAGCCTCTCTGATTTCCCAGCCCAGTCCCACTAAGGATCCATGCAGGCAGTGTTCGGTTTCAGTCACATTTTTGCGCTTGCACGGAGATCAGCCTGAACGTGCAACTCCGAGGAGCATTATACTATTAGTTTATCCCATTTTACCAACGTCGACTTTGCAAAGAGAGATCCCACTTTCGAGAAGCATAAATTCCTACTCCCATGCAGGGCCGTTTCTGGGGATGTTGGCGCCCAGGGCAAGCAGTTCCAATGGCGCCCCACGCCCGCTTCGCCCGCCCCTAGAAACGGCCCTGCTCCCATGCACAACGTTTCGTGCGACGGGTGACAAGTGCAATCCAACACTTGTCACGTAGAAGCCGGTTAAGCTGGCCTTGTGATATAAACATATCAAGGATCATATTCCTCCCCTTGCGTCTTCGAGGCTGTCTGGGAGGGCAGGAAGGACGAGAAATAATCGGGGGGCTCAGAAGCTAAGTGGTGAGTGGCTCACATTGCCAACATTTTGAGGAAATCAGCAGAAAGCCATTCAACTGCTTCTCAGCTGCGACCGCTCGTATACATTCAGATATTGCACAGGGAAGTCTATGCCTGATTTACACCGCTTTGTTTCAAAAGCATTTGCTTAATAGTACTTTCCTCATTCTGCTTCTTTTCCCCAAGAATACGCTAATTTATATATTCATAAAAGTAATTATGCACGTTCCTTGGTAGGCCTACTTTTGTCAATGTATAATGAGCAGGGCACCTCGTGGACACCATAGAGCAGTGTTTCCCAAACTGTGTGCCGCGCCACACTGGTGTGCCACCAGTAAGGCTTAGGTGTGCCGTGAGATTTGAGAGTTTACAAAAAAAAACTAAAACTTTGAAAACTTAAAAGCAAGAGGGAACGCCATATCTCAGTGGAAAACGAACGAGTTGCACTATCACGGCTCGTATCAAACTGCCGTGTTCAGCGAAGCAAGCGCAAGTTTCCCATTGAATGTAAGTTAATGGCTAGGTGTGCCGTGGAAAGTTCAAGTGTCCTTATGTGTGCCGCAAATAAAAAATGATTGGGAACCACTGCCCTAGAGCCTTGATCCGTCCCCTTCTCTTCATTCAGGGAAGCTGAACGGAAGCTTGAGGAATCTGGAAGGGAGTCAGCTGGGGAGCATAGTGATCAAGGCCTGCCTGGAGAAAGTTGGTTTGGACCCAGGGGCTGGGCATGTGGACGAGGTCATCATGGGCCAAGTCCTGACGGGAGGCAAAGGTCAAAACCCGGCTCGTCAGGCTGCTGTCAACGCCGGTCTTCCCCACAGCGTCCCTGCCACCACCGTCAACGCTGTCTGCGGCTCTGGACTCAAGTACGACCGATATGCTTCGCCTTGTATAGATTCCGCTGCACTGCCATCTTCAGGCCGCTCTGAGAAAAAGTTGGAGCCATGCCATGGTCAGAAATTATTGGGACATAAGGTTCAATCTTGGTCATTGTCTCAGTCAAGTCGGCAAAATAGAAGAGCAGTTTCGTTGCGTCGACGATGGCGTATACGTTTTTAAGTCAATTATAATCAAACTTGACTGCATTTCCTCGCTTAAAGCTCAGCCATCGAAATTTCATAATTTCCTTCATAGTCGCTCAGGTCAACTTTGCTCTTGCCATGTCTTTTTGCCCTTCTCGGATAATGTCTGGTAGTCCGCTATTTTTCGTTGAACACAATGAAAGAGGGGAGGGCCTTTTCAACCTGTTATATCTCAGGTTTGAATCTGAATGCACCCAACTCTAAGGCACTGTTTGACAGAGCTGCACGTCAGAAGAAATATATTATATATTATTTCTGGCCATCGCTAACGCGGCGATACGTAAAGAATTGTGCATCTCTCGTCAGTCTGTAGCGATCCCGTAGATGAAAACCTTGGGGGGATCGATTTTCTACTTTCTTAGTTGTGGAAAGAAACCCTGCGATAGAACCGCTATCTGGCAACCGCAACCGCAATTCCTTTCCCCCTCAGAAAGGCTTTCCGAGAAATCTGCTTCTTTTACGTCCAACGGTGGAAGAGGAAACCGGCTTGCTTCTCATTACTAATGGTTGTGTTAACTGTAACTGGAAGTAGAAAACTGTCTTGTTTGGAATCTGCGAGATGGGGTCATTGCTGCAACCTTGCGTGTTTGGGGAGTGGAGTCGGGAACAGAACCCTGACCTTGGCCTTCCCTTACTTTTGAAGCTTCGTCTTACATGATACCAAACGAGGGACCGGCATCACAGATGCAGATCCTTGCAATTCCCTATGAAAGGATGGGTTGCCGTAACGGAGGAGGGGGGGAGGGGGGGGGGGGGGCTTGCCCCCCTANGGGGGTGGGGGGGGGGGGGGGGGGGGGGGGGGGGGGGGGGGGGGGCTTGCCCCCCTAATATAAAAAAATCTTAAAGGCAACTTTGGCAGGAAATGATTCTATATCTAATCTTCATGTACCCTATGACAAGTACCACGATGATTTTTTTTTCCTGAAGAAAGCCCTTCAAGGCTTCTCTTTCCTCACTGACTTACAATTTGGGACTTGATGATGCTCAACTGCTGCAGCAACTTGCGGCTGAAAATGCCAAATTTTGGAGAAATCCAGGTCTTCCCATTGCCGCTTCATTTGCTGCGAAATATGCTAACAATGATTTTTTCAATGGAAAAATGCTTCTAAACAACACTCATTCCTCACCAACTTGCAACTAGTACATACCTTCGAAGCGTACTTTGTGTCTGTAATATTTTCTGAATTTTTAAAGTTCATGTGAGAGGGTTATTCATAATTATTTTAATTATTGACATTAATTACAAATTACTCTTAACTCCTCTTGCCACTAAGTGCTCCTCTAGCTCTATCCAACCATATGTGTCTTTCTAAGGTTGGCCCATTCCACTTATCGATGTCTCCTGTTGCAACCCCTTTCGAATTTTCTCAATACTAGAATACCAGAATAGTAACGTTGCCCCTGGGTGAAAAGTGTGGTTACTGTTTCTCTTGAATGTGATCACTATTAGCATCACTGACAGGTTAATTTTGAACTTAATTAAAACGTGAGGTCAAAATACAAGCTCCCCTTATAAAACATTTCCTCTGCATCCTTTACTCGAAGTGCCTCTAATACAACCCCACCGAATGATACAGCACCGTTCTACTGAGTTTCTATGGAATACTCTACCGGGTGTATCAAAAGTCGCTTCCACTGTCCATGCGGCCATGGGAAGCATATTGTTGGAAGTAGAGGTATCAAACTCGGTGTGTGAATCAATTCGACAACAGGGAAGGCAGTGCACTCATGTTCGTGGTGTCAAAGGAAGGTGTTCATAAGTGTTCAATGCATTTCCCATCGGTCGTAAAACACCCAAGCCCTGGAGTCTGCTGTGGTGAGGTCAGGGATCTTGCAGGCCGGGAATAAAGTTCAAATGTTCAGAGTGTCCAAGTGGTTAAAGGAATCGGCTGATCACACGGTCTCCGAAAGTGGTCCGGAGAACACATTTCACTCGTTTTGCAATGTGGGGTGGAGCGCCATCTTGCATGAAGACTGCTCAACCATTTTATGGGGTCGTTGAAAACTGTTTCAGGTTTTTGCGACGGTGGTTTTTATACCTATACCCATGTGGTTTCTCTATAATATTCATTGCCTCCCCCGTGGTCAGATCGGTCTGCACGCCAATTTTCATGACACTGGCCATCGGTTTGCTTGGTATGGTCGTCAGAACGGTGATATTGACTTTTGAAACGCCCGGCATTTTGAAATAATGAAGTACGAGAAGGCTGGATTCAATCGAACTGCACCGTGTTCTGCCAAGTTATTCATGTTCATTATGAATCCATGTGTTTGAAGGTGCACCTTGCTTTTCTTTAATGACAAATGGGTTTTATTCCGATTTTAGCCGCAATTATATTAATACCATGTTTGATTTTTGTTCAGACACCCGTAAGATTCCTGAAGTGAAACAAAAGATCCCTGAACCCGTCCACGGCGGAAAATGTTAGTGTGTTCTTGAGACTTCCATCGTGCCATGACAAGAAGTACCACCCAGTGAGGTGAAGCTAAAAGCTCCGGATTTCCCTGCCAATTGCTATCCTTGCCTTTATACAGGGTCGTCCAAAAAAAAAGGCAAGTGAAATTTTCTTTTCTTTTCTTTTAATTTCAGGTGATTATAACTGAACCGAAATGCCTCAGTTCAAGTGACTCTCGTTATACGCGGGGGTTGCGTTCCCGGGAATCGCCGCGTATATCGAAAACGCGTAAAACTTCCACGGCACCTACGAATAGGGATAATGAGTCTCCATGCACCGAAATGAAACCGCGGATAACGAAAGCGCGATTAACGAGAGTCACCTGTATTCAGTGCAGGAACGAGTATGGATAGTAGAGTACTATTTCCGTAGTTATGGTACTGGTCGGAGTGATGGACCATCTTTGGAAATTGTGAAAGGAGGTTTTCAGGAAATTTTCGGAAAAGATGCTCCACCAGATAAAACGATCCTTTCAATTGCCAAAAAGTCTCGTGAAACTGTGCAATCAGAGTGCAGGCAAATCAGGCCGAAAGCGCGCTATCCGTACTAATGAGAACACTGGGAGATTTCTGGATAAGGTGCTGCGATCACCTCGTAAGTCGTTAAAGCAAATGTCGAATATCCAAGGAACTGCTGATTTCTCGAGGGAGTGTTATTCGTATGGTTAGAGACCAGCACCATAACTATGGAACTAGTGCTCTACGAATTCATACTAGCTCCTGCACTGGATACTGAGGCATTTCGGTTCAGTTATAATAACCTGAAATGAAAAGAAAAGGAAATCAAGTTTCACTTACCTTTTTTTGGACCACCCTGTAGAATCCAGTGAGCTCCCATTGTACTGCCACCTTACTGTTGCTTGAAGACCATGGTCATGCCGTACGTAACTTCTGCCAGGCACTCACATAGTTACCGAGTCCCACAGTGGCGTTACACTGCGTGAACCATCATTTTTATGGGTGAGCCTTGACTTTTGGCTATTTGGTGTATCATGTAACGCGCTATCCACAAGGCCAAACCTAATATCTCGCATGAATCGAAATGTGTTTAGCAATAATTCAATGCACCTCTTGTTTTTTATGATTTTTTTTTTCATGGCGTAGTACGAGGGTATGTACATATTAACATCCAAATATTCTTTATCTCGGTTATTTCTCGAAGTGAACTGCTATCCTCCTTCACCCTTTTTCTGCTCTGGGTTGATTTCTGGTAAATAAGATTCAGAAGGCTCATCCTTGACATTCATGTGAGCATATAATGATTTGTGGGTTTTGTGCTGTAGGGCGGTGATGTTGGGGGTACAGGGAATTCGCTGTGGAGAAGCACGAGTGGTGGTTTGCGGGGGCCAGGAATCCATGAGCCGTGCGTTACACGGCATGGAACTCCGATCCGATCGGAGACGATTCGGGCACGAGACCCTCGTGGATATCCTCATCCAAGACGGCCTCACTGACGCCTTCACCCATCAACACATGGGGCTCACCGGTCCGTGTTTGTCTCATTCATTTCCTGTATGCTCACCCAACGTTTGTTCGTCTGCTTCAGGAAAGCACTCCGTTTGTTTTGTGGAGAGCCTTCCCGGGATGATGCATCGCTAAATTAGTCTTGTTATTCAATGAGTTTTCCGTGCCCTGCATTCTGTCATTATTTTATTTTTATTTTTTTTTCCATTCAGTTTCTGCATCGTCAAATAAACCAACACCAAGGAGTGAGCTTCATGAAATTTTGTAAAGGAACTCATTGTAGGGGTAATGATATCGATCGAAGTTGTATGAAACGACCATTTGAAAAGACATGCATTACTGCTCAGAGAGGACATAGGTGCCAGTGTCATGAGTGTCGAACGCGGCGGCAATGGTAGAGGTTGCAGTACATGCATGCCTCTTCAACTGAACTCGGTCACATTGGTCAAGTTCATGACGTGACTTCGACGACGTTAGCACCATATTGCTTCGCAAAAACACTCAACAGTGGCGCAAATGTCAATTGACAGAAGCGATGACGAAAAGCCAACTGACAAGAATGAAACTTCCCGCCATTCAACTGGACATTCGGCAAGTTTTCTCTGTAGAGTCATTGACCTTAAAAGTTTAATCCATTTCATTACATGCTGCAAGGGGTTCATGTATTTCATGGGTCAACTTCTTGGTGTTGCTTTCTTGTGATAAATATAATAAATTTTTTTGAGAACACGTCTAGGATCGAATCCGCTTCCTGCTCTCGGGTTTGAACCCAAAATGATCGTTTTGAATCATCGTTTACAGCCGAAAACGTGGCGGCAAAATACGGGGTGAGTCGGGCTGCGCAGGACGAGTTCGCGGCGGAATCGCAGCGGAAGACGAGCGTCGCGATGAGGGAGGGACGATTCAGAGACGAAATCGTCCCCGTGCTCTGCCCGGGAACGAAGGGAGAGACGGTCGAGGAGGACGAATTCCCTCGACCCTCGACCACCTTGGAAGCCCTGGCCAAACTTAAACCTGTCTTCAAAGCCGTACGTCGCCTCCCCGTTCGATTTCCGCACCTCGGACCAGAGCATGAAGGACAGAGCACGAATGACTGAATATGCAGGAGAGTGCAAAAGCCCTGTCTTTGGAATCTCTTTCTCGGAATCAAAATTTCAAACTGAGTTGCCTTGGACAATTTCTTATACATGGATACGGCGGCGAATACTCTCACGCACACGTGTGGGAGTCACTCTCGTGATTGCCACACAATCTGCGAAGCAGCCCAAGGCAACCAGTTTGAACGATTGATTCAGTGAAAGAGATTCCTGTGAGATTGGACTTTTGCACCACCCTGAGTACAGATCGGCTTCTTTGAAAAGAAAGTAATCCTTCCAATATATCTAATAATACAGGATCTAATTTAGGAAAACTAGCATGAGGAATAGATGAGTTAAAGTAAATCAACTGATTTGAAAGGATAGGAATATATCAACGATCAAGAAACCCCTAAGATCTAGGATCTACATTTAGGCCATTGAGATGTAGCAATAGATCAAAGTAAATGAGGAGTAAATTAAAACATGTGAAAGTAGATCAGTTGATTTAAGAAAAAAGTAATTGGCAACAATCAATAGAATGAAGCAATTTTGGATGCAGTAAGATAACAAATGAGTTCTTTTGTTGAGAATTCGCCGACAAAGTATGGTTGCATGATGCGGACTTTACCCTATTGCACATCTTGTTGAAAGCCAATCATGTGTACTTCGATGTGATCGGCACGTTTTGCCGGATCAGAACTTTGCGTCCGATGCCGCTGAACAAGATGAAGAACGAATGAGAGAGCTAGGAAAATATATATATTTGAAGAGAAACGTTGAAAATGATGCACGTGAAAGTCGACTCGATCGACCGACTGACGATGATTGGATTTTAATTTGAACCATGGATCGAAGGAAGGTGGGACGGTGACTGCTGGGAACGCGTCGGGATTGAACGACGGAGCGGCCTGTCTCCTCCTCATGTCGCAACGGGAAGCGAAATTGCGGCGAATCTCCCCACTCGCCACTATCGTCTCCTACGCTCAATGCGGCGTTGATCCCGCTCTCATGGGCATCGGACCCGTCCCTGCCGTCAAAGCTGCCGTATGTATCTATTACCAACAGAGGTGGGGAAAATCGCAAATCGAATCTTCACCTCTAAATTGCAGACCTTTCTCGTAAAATAATAACAGATAAATGAAAAAAGAGGTACTAGCACTGCTGTACAGGTAACGAATGAATCAAATGATAAAACATGAAAAGCATGATTCCAATCAGTAGTTTAAGTCATTATTGGAGATGTGGTCCCTGTACCAATACAGTAAAACTCATGTTACATACTCTATCGCGCAAATATTCGATGTGTCGCGTGTTTGACAATTTTTGACAAAGCATGTTACTAAATTGACTCGTGCTTTGCTTTTGAAACTATTCAAATCGGTACATCAAATCGTGATTTGATTTCGCATGCCTCAGAAATGCTCCAAACCTGGTCTTTCCTCTCCGATATCATGTTACATTTGGTTTGGGGCATTCTTATTGTAAGGTGGAGAAGGCCGGTTGGAGGCTAGAAGAGGTTGACTGGTTCGAGCTAAATGAAGCTTTTGCAGCCCAGAGTGTGGCCGTCATCAGGGAACTGAATCTCGATCCGTCCAAGGTGAATCCCAATGGAGGGGCCATCGCCTTGGGCCATCCCATCGGAGCCTCCGGTTTGTTCCTTCTCCCATAGACTAACTGCAAACGTCCTTTCTCGCATTCCAATATTCACCAATACAGTAAAACGGCATAACGCCGAACCATGACGTGAGTGACCTCGCTCGTAATTTATTCTGTTTTCCGCTATCTTGGACATCCTTGTAATCGCCATTAGTACCAAAACCATCACAGGAAGAGTCATACTTGGGTGATGGGCAGACAGAAGAATAATGAATTGAACGTGGCTCGGCTGCTGAGTCCAGCAGTGTTTGGTATTCACAGCTGACATCCATGCTCCTACTCAGCCTTCCAGAGCTTCAGTTGATGCTGATGCACACGTACAGGATGAGCCACAAGTAATGACTTACGCTTTAGAACGGCTACTTATATTCTCATGAAACAACGTGTTAGGTAACCGAACTAAGCATAAAATTAAATTTTAAAATCAGGGGGGGAAACCCGTGACCGTGCACATCTCCACTGGTATGGCGTTGAAGTCCTACGTAATCGCGTCCTGTATGCGTTCGAGGTCGTGGATACGATGGACACGATCTTTGTCTTTAAGGTAATCCCACAGAAAGAAATCTGGCAGTGTTAGGTCTGGCAATCGCGGGGACCATTCGATTCAGTAGCACGCGCCACTTTTTCCATGGTCTGTAATGTGTTTTGACGACCGGGATGGTTACTGTTTAACACTTTTTCTATTTCGTTAAACTTTTGTGCCGGGGCACGATCGTCTTCCAAGTAAGCCCTGGCTCCCTAAATTCCTGTTTCATGCGTTTATCTCGTGTAACGTTGCGGAAAATAATCTGACTCATCGACACTACCTCGTTTCTCAAGAGGTAGTCGTACGCCCGTCATTTGCATTATGAGTGATCCATGTGCTGTCGATGCGTATAGCTACCTAACATGTTGTTTGAATAAAATTTCCACAATTCGCCTTCTGGTTTCGACCTATAGAAATTCTACTGGAAGCATCGAAAGACAGCGACTGAGTACAGGGTGTACTAAAAGAGACGCTTTATGAGCAGCTTGCCTTGGGTAAAATTTGGTTACTTGGGTAACGTAAAATCGTTATAAGACATGGTGAAATAATCGATTAGGACTAGAACGCTGATAACTTTGTGGTCTTTTTTAAAAATTAAATTCGTTTCCGAAAGTGTAGTATCGAGTACCCGATTGGAAGAGTGAGAATCGTTAGGTGGAATTTTAAAACGAGATCCATTGCCGTCTGCACAAATATTCAACGGCTTTTATGCAACCGTAACCGAGCCGTATGAAACACGGTCGCTCCGTTAACAGGGCAGGAGCGCTTTCCGCATTTGACGATGCCACGACCTCTGCCACTCGTCAAGCGGAGGGACGGCGGCCGATTTCACGGATTCCGAAACGAAGAGTACGAGGAAACGAGGATCGGGACTCACAGGAATCTATTGTACTGTACTCATAGGTGCGAGGATCCTGACGACGCTGGTGCACGGGCTGAAGGGGCGAGGGACCAAAGGAGTGGCTGCACTCTGCGTCGGGGGTGGCATGGGCATGGCCGTCTCCATTCAAACCCCGTTCTCCTAGTCCTCATCGATAGATATCAAATAAAGTAGACTTTTCCTTTGACCGCGATCGCATACCGCCTTTTCCGTCGGATCGGAGCCCTTCCTTGAAGGCATTTCCTCCTCTCCGTGCTCCGACCGCTTCTGCAGGAAACTTGGAAGAAGGCCGATTTCCTTCCTCATCCGGAAGTATTCTCGCAGATACCACGGGCGTGTGCCTCGGTTCCACGGTCGGAACGGGATCGGTCCGAAATGGTTCGTTCGATTCCTTTTCCGGAAGGCTTTCAAAATGCGTGGTGAGGTGGACTGCGGGTCCCACAGCGCCAGAAAAGAATCGCACCATCGCCGGTGTCAAGCCTGACTGCAAATCGACGCGCTTCTCTTTACCCGTGAGCCCGTGTCGCTTCCATTTCTCACGTCGGACGCGAGCATCGGCTGGACGAGGAATGGGACAGGTTAATACCGTTCTCATCTGACGAATGTCCTACTGGCAATTTTCAACCCAACATTGAACTCGTGAAAATTCAACTGGCGATGCCAAGCTCCTGATAACGTTCGTTTGGAAAAGTGACAGCCGTTAACTTTCATCTTTTAGTTCTGCATTAGCGCTAATGGTTTGTGCGCATCTGCCTGAATTTCTTTCTTGAATTTCTTCTGGTCGATTCCTTAAAGTTTCGAACAGAGGGAGAGTTCTGGATCGCACCGGGAAAGTCCCATCTCTGTCGCTCTCCCTACAAGGCTTTTTCCCTACATCGTACGAGAAATATATGCTACACAAACCCTTGTGAGACTTCTCACAATGGATTAATGCACAAAAAGCCAAGGAGTGTTTGATATTTGACGGTTTATTGGAGGTTTCCGACGAGAATTTCCCCGATTCCCCCGTTGTCGTCCTGTTCCCAAACCGTAAATGTTAGACGATTAGTCGATGCGAGAACCTTCCCGATGCTAGCACCAAAGCCACTTCCATCGTATGAAACGGCGCCCGACCTTTCTTTCTGAGACTATCTCGACACTAAGTGTGGAATCCCCTTGCATTAAAATGACTGGGTCGGGATGCCTGAATAGTGAATAGGCACTTCTAGTAGCGAAACGATTGAACCTTGTTCACGGAAAGAAGCGGAGGTGCACGAGACAACTGGTGCCATGAGGGACGTCGATGCTCGATGGCACCACCCCTCACCCCTCACCATCTCGCTCCGCCTCGCACCACCCCTCACCCCTCACCATCTCGCTCCACCTCGCACCACCCCTCACCCCTCACCATCTCGCACCGCCCCTCACCGCCTCGCACCATCCTCTCGAAAAAGTATACATATACGAGACATATATATTACTTATATATGTGGGTTTTCATCGGCGGCCTCACGCTGCTCTGCGGGCATCGCAACTCGCCGCGCACGTTTCCGAACGTTAGTGGCCTTGACCACGCTACGTGAACCTATTACTATGGCTTCGGTAGAGCATACGCGTTCGCGCTGTGCGCACGCATGCCACTGACCACCACCACGGACCGCTGTAGATTTTATGGCATCGATTATAATATAGATAATGGAAGGAGTCCACAGAGCCTAAGTTAATCGAAAGCCCAAACAGCCGCGCGACTGTTTGGGCTTCAAAAACAATGCGACGATACTCTACCCTGTTGGACCCCTCTTTCTCATTCCAAATCGAGAGAGAGACCCACGGAGTCTACTTTCCCCACCCTAACACAATCCACTCGTTGTTCCCAACGTTTCTGAGCCACCTTTCACGAACGCCAGACCGACGACGCCTTACATCCTCCCAGCATCGACAACCTTCGGCCGATCTAGGTAGAAATGTAACGTGCCAGCAGGGTCGATTTTGGCAGATCCTCGACGCGCCGTATTCGTATGGATATCTATACGAAGAACCGATGGCTTTCTCGAATTTGGTGTTCGTTGGACTCCAACGGGCCTGCAAGACTTCCTTCCGAGTTTCACTCTCGTGAAGCATCGAACGTAAACGATGCGAAAATCGCGAGAATGATTTTAGCTCGGCAGACCAGACCTTTTTATCGCTTCCTTCCCACCTTCCTGCAAATCCGGGTGCATGCTCCAAAGGCTTCATGGAAAAACCCTTTCGGATTCAATCGATTAAGCTGCCGGATGCACCTTACGCGAAGATCTTGTCTTCCTTTACAGTTTCAGGACGAAGGAAGCTTAGGAAAAATGAAAACGAAAGAGACCGTGTTCCGTAAGAGTAGCATATAGTGTAGAGGGAGAGAGAGAGGGAGAACGCTCTGGGACTCCATCGGTGGACTCGGCACCTTTTTCCCACCAACGCACGGAGAGGACATATAAGAGAACAGTAAGTAAGCAGGGGATTTCGCGCTCCCGCACTCCCAGCCTCTCTTTTTTCTTTGCCTTTGCCTTTCCCCCTCTGAACGCCTCTACGTCACTGAAATCACAGGGAATTTATTGAGTCTTCCAGGAAAGAGAAATCAATTCGGAATGCATTCGGCTCAATCTAGCGGAGCCAGTGGTGATAGATCGAATTCGGTAGAGCGTTCTTCTTCCACCGCAAAAATATTTAAAAGGAAAAAGCAGAGGCACACTCGAATAGGAATCCCAACTCACTTAGTCTGTCTGCGATATTGCCGAAAGGTATCTACGCCGAGCCGTGACATCGAGCTCACATCATCAATGTCGAGCGGAGGCAAGGCTTAGAAAGATGAGATTACTTGAGAAGAGGAAATGGATTTTTGTCTTCAATTTCGCTTGTGTTAGAAGGGAAAAAAAAACCACTACACTGCTGTCACATTTTTTAAATAGTAGTTAATGGAAAAGATTTTCTTTTATTTGCAGGCAATAAAATGCTATTGCTAGTATTCATTAATGAAAACAAGGGGCTCATGAAAATACGGATTCCGCACCCTGTCTTTGGAACTAATGAGATTCGGGTGCTCCTTTTCCTGTGAACCCTGAGAGCTTTTTCGCATCTCAAGATGAATTTTTAAAATTCAAGGTTACTGAGCATCTCGGTTCGCTTTTGCTTTCAATAAAAAAAAACTGATCTCACAAGCAAGGGAGTGCATTGATACGACGTTGACAGGGTGTTTATCGATTTTTACAAAGTTGAAGATTTATGAGCAACATTCGTTCGCTGAGTTCATCAGCAGGGACACGATCCAAAGGTAAAAGGAGAAAAATCGGATACCTTCAACTCCATCCATAGTGAAGTGATTGCGGTGTTCCCATGCTAGCATGGTTATTTACGCAATTAAGTAGCTACTTAATTCCCATGATGTTTTTCATGCGCCATTGGTGACGGTCTTTTAGTTTTTCGTGCCACTCGACTCTCACAAGTTATCGCCTGCTCCAAATAGCCATTAAATAAAGGTGCAAATATGTTTGCAGGTATGTAAAAATGGAGGGACAGACAGGTAAAGGGATATTTCACCTCTTGGAGTGCAGCTTACCCTTGCGTTTCTGTCCGAATGTGATTTCCGTTCCTCGACTCG